CTTGTTGCTTTCAAGTGCACAAAATTTGAAATGGTGCAATTTGCTAATGAACGATTTGTCTCTACTGTGAGGAAATTTAGCTCAGCCTGTCGTCATCATCATCATCATCATCATCATCATCATCATCATCATCATCTATCAGATTCCTATTTTTCTGTCAGTATTTCTATTTTTCTACCCTCAGAATGTAATCATATTATTTATTCTTCCTGATCCGGAGACAATTTATAAAAAGAAAATTATGATATGTTTGTGTTAACTGAATTGTCAAAGAGTCTGTTTAGTTTTCTTGTCAAACTGAGCAAACGTGTCACGATTGTTTATCAGAGGTTGGTGCCTTCATTAAATGTCTTATTTAAAAAAAGGTTTGCAACGCTTGCACGAAGTCCCACGTTTAAATTTTGTGAGCAGTGGGATTATTACATAATCGGTCTGACATGGACTTGATGTACTCTCAATGCACTCTTTTTCTGTATTGCATTTCAGTTTTGTTAGTGATTTTTACTGATCCCTGTTTAGAAAAACAAAACATAAAAACATGTTTTCACAAATGATTTTTGTATATATTTTTTAATATGCAAGAACTCTTAATGAATGTATCTGGATGTTATGACTGGGATGCTTACAGGGAGGGGATCAGATCAGATAATGGGTTTAAAATATTTTATTTTATTCCAACTTACATTTTTAAGTGTGTGATTTGAGGCACAGATTTGATCAGATTATTGCCTTATAGTTGGTTCAAAAAAAAGCTGAACATATCCCAGTCTGTCTTGTTTGTTTGATGTTGACGACAGCTCCCTCTTGTGGTAAAAATGATCAGCTGAATATTTTTTACTTGCCCTCACTCCCCCTTTTGTCGTCCTCTTAGATCAGATCAGTCACTCTCTGACTTTCCACACATCTCGAATGGCACAGTCTGTTCCGAGCCATCTGCCAGAGCAGCAGTTAATACACAATGACAGCTTATTTAGGTGGTTTAACATTGTGGTGCACCAGAATTACCTTCATCCACACCCATAAACATATGCGCACAGATCCTTATGTTGTATAAGGCCTCAGTAACAGTTACCCTTATGGGGAGGGAGTGTGTTAAAACTGGAAGCTGCTTATGTTCAGACTTGTTTTGACTGTGAGCCAGCACCACTGAGTTACAGGGACCGAGCCTGTAAGTCTCTCATAGTAATTATATAGCTGTTGCACAACATAAGGTATGTGATGTTGATCTGTCATTTAACGCTGAGGTAAAGTTGGAACAGTTACAGTCTGACAAAATGCACATGAAAGTCACCAGGGCATCACATGCTTGTGTGTGAACTGTTTTAGTTTGGGATATCAAATGTCTTTCCCAAACTCTTTCCAAGCCATCTGGGGGAGGAGGAGGGCGGGGGGTGTCTCGCACTGTCCTACAGATACACATTCACACACCTCTCTGTCTCTGATTAAAACAAATGAAATGCAAAGGAAGGAAATTTCCATGTGAGAAATGAATTTTATTTGACATTGCACCCCTGGCATCAAGTTCCCCTGCATTCTTTGCATTCTAGGTGGTTTTTCTCTGGTACTGGAGTTCCTTTCGCATGAAAATACAGCACAGTGATGTGTCGTGGATGTAATTTATTAACCCATACCTTCGTGCCACAGTCGATTAACATAAACCAAAATACAATATACAAAGCAAAAGAATGAATATAGTTCTAAGAACTTTAAAAATCAATATTTGATAATGACCACTATTTATTCAACACAGTCTGCGCTCTCTAATGGAAGCTGTCCTGTCTTTAAGTAGTCTTCAGGAGTACTTCTCCAGGCTTCTTGAAGGACATTTAAAGCTCTTCTTTGGATGTTGGCTGCCTTTGGTTTCCTGTCAAGATGAGCCCACACTGCTTCAACACCATGTTTTAGAGTCGACTGTAGACACTCACTATTGTTCCTGTGTTTCAAATTTGGATTCATCACTCCATAAAACCTGTTGCTACTGATTTCAGTCTGTGTCTTGTGTAATTTGGCATAGCTCAGCCTTTTCTCTGTTTTCCTTACTCAATAATGGCTTCCTAACAGCAGCTTTTCCACTGACACCATTTCTGATGAGGCTTGATGTATCAATTGAAGGGGCAATGCATCTCTCAGGTCCTCCGTCAGGTCTTTGCTGGATTTTTTTCCCCTGTTTCTTAAGGACCTGACTATCAGATGCTCTTCTGCTGTAGTCTTTAGCTCTGCACCTTCTTTTGTGTTACTCCATCAGATTTTTAAGGGCATGCCACACACCATGCTGAAAGATGCCAAGTTTCAAACTAAAATTGAAAATGACCTTCTTGGCACAGTTTTATGCCTTTCAAACGGTGTTATCTTTGGCATTTCATATTTTGATGTAACAAATGATGAGTTTTGTGACTGCTGTTAGTTACAAAGAGCCTAAAGATACAATTTGAAATGGGTTCTTTGTTAAGTTGTGTGATGTGTAGACACAACATTGTTTCATGCCTTGACTTAGGTGCCGTTTTCAGAGTTGAATGATTTGTAGGTCAGTGTTAAGTTGTTCAACAAACAAACACATTCTTCTGAAAATGTGAAGGTACAAGGACTGGACTCAAGATGACTGAAAAAGCAGCCAGTTTCCAGTGTAAAAAAAAATTGAAAACTTTCAAAACTCTTGCCCCAAACCCTCTTTAGAAGTCCATTTTTCTATAAGTTAGCTGTTGCTATTGCACTTAATGTCCATCATAATACAGGGCATTATTTATCAACAATCCAATAGAAATGATACTGTTAAAATGACACAGACAGCATTAATCTAACTCTCTCCCTCCGGCAAAGAAGTTTCCATTCTGAGCTGACAACATAATACTTTAATAGTTACTCTGTCGTTACATTCACTGTAGCAGTATACCTCTTTTATTTAAGAGCTAGAAACGCTAAGTAATAAAATTAATGAAACCTGCATTTCATTTATCTGCTTGACAATTGGGGTCCTGGTATTGCGCATGCTGACTGTCAACCTGTAATGGCTGTCTGGGACACCTCACTGTAAGAAAAGCCAGGCCTGCTTCACCTGCTATATCGAGTCAAAATCTCTGCTTCAGAGCAGGGCCACTGTATGGCTGATATTACACTGTTGTCCAGTGGTGAACCCACAGCAAATCACCCAATTAAAACCCAAGTTTTTGTTTTCAGCAAGAATTTTCTGAATGACAGAAATAAAAATAGAAGTTAGATGTTTGATTGTATGATGTGTGATTGACACGGATCTCTAAAACGAAAAAGAATTTGTATTAATATTATAATTTTTAAACACAAACCTAAGTAAAATAACTTAAAACTGAAACTAGTTATTATATGTTGTTAACAACTATTGTAACTGCAGTTGTAACCACTGACCTACATTATGAACAGATAATTCAAAAGGTTGTTTATTAAATACTGTCTGGTTATTGATTAACTGTACTAAAAATCAGATAGTGGCTTCTTCATGTTGCTCTACTGTTTTGCTCCACATTGATCACAGCAGCGGATACTCAAGAAGGACATTTAATGAATTGGACTAGTCTTGTAAGATTTTACGAAGTACAGATTACGGTTTTCGCATGATAACAGAGCCATCGTCGCGATGAAGTCCATGTCCAAGGTAAATAAAGTATTTCTACAGCAGATACAACACGCCAGAGTCTATCCCAGGCGAGTTAGTCAGCCAGTTTTGAGAACCTAGCATAAATATGACTTATAACTGTTGGGAATGGTGCTTATTGCTTAGCTATTTTCTAATTATACAGTTCAGTTGTTGTTGTTGTTGTTTTTTTAAAAAAAGGAAAGAAGCTGATGCCAACGCTGGCATCGGTATTGGATTGATACTGACGCAATAGGATCGATATCTTGATGCATGCTCAGTCATCCAGGTAAGTAAATCTCCAAAAGTTGATTCTGTTCATTTCTCCCACAAAACTGGACCTCCCAGCCCATTGTTCCTTGTCTGGGCTAGTTTCAGTCATTATGCAATGTACAGTTTATAAGATTGGGGAAACCTGCAGTCAGCTGAGACTGAAGAAGTCACCTGGATGAGTGACAAAACGTTTCTCCCACAAAACGCTATGTCCAGATGAACAGAATCAACTTTTGGAGAATAGGATCGATACTTTGCTTCTATTCTCCAATACAGTATGTTGCCCATTAAATTTTCTTAATTAAATTATTTGTTTAAATGGAAAAATAGAGCTCAAACATGCATTGTGAAACATTTATTAGCCTTTTTGTGCTGACTGTATAGTCTTTAACCTATATACATAGCAAACACTAACCCAAAGCGATTTAGAGTCTCAAAAAATGTCTGTGAAGGTTCTCAGTCATCCAGGTCATGTAGTCAAATTAGCTTGCAAAGAAAAGCGTCTGGACTTCTTTAAGTTGCTTTCGCATGATATCGGAATTCGCATGATAAGGTGGGGGGCCAGGTTTAACAATGAGCTCACCTGAAACCCTGGCTGGGACCCACACCCATTTTCACACCCTGGCTCATCAGGGGGTCCTTTTGTTCCTCTGTGGGGGGATACTCCCACTAGGTTTAAATCTGGGACTCCCCACCATTTGACCTTAGAACTGAAGAAGCTTCTCGGATGAGAGGTGAAACTCTTCAAGCAACTTAAAGAAGTCCAGGCGCTTTTCTTTGCAAGCTCAGTCTCAATTTTTTTTTTTAAATAACCAATTTTTGTGGAAAGTGGAAATCACAAAAACGTTGTAATCATTAAAATGTCACTGTCACACAACACACTGTCACGCTCCCCTACATAAGCTGCCTTTGTAGGTTAAAAGTATTGGTATTGGTATCGGCAGGACCTGCACCGTATTCACTTGGTATCGGATCGATAACAAAATTTGCTGTTTGACACGGCGCCAGTCAGCGCCGTTAGACGCTGACGTCAGTCACGGTTAGGAAATCCAGCCAATCGCAAGCGACAGCTAGCGCGCGAAGGCGGGGCAGCACGGGGCGGACGGGAGGGGGGTGTGGTGGGGGGGAATACAAACACCCAGGGTGCAGAGGCTCGCGTGTCAGTTGAAGCTTAAAGGAAAGGGGCTTGGAGGGAAAGTAAACACGGAAACTTTTCTGACAACATCCCCGCTGAACAACTGGTAACTGCTGATATACTTTATCTGCTCCCCGTGCAGCTAGGAGCGTCTAATTGCTGAACTGCTTATCTTTTTTTTTTCTTTCTTTTTCATCTTTCAGATAACGCTTCAGCTTCAACGGTGCGCTCGTGACATAACAAACATGTCCCAGCAGGCAGTGAACGGGGTCTCGCACCGGGGCAGGGTGCTGACTTTGGACAGCATGAACCCCAACGTTAAGCGGGTGGAGTACGCGGTCCGCGGACCCATCGTCCAGCGGGCGGTGCAGCTAGAGAAGGAGCTGAAGGAGGTAAAGTGGAGCCAAAGTTGGACAAAGCAGGAGAAAAGCGCGAACTGAGTTAAGAGTATCGCTGAGGTGGCACTCAGGAGCGAGTTGGGTTTCAAAAGAATGGCTTGTTAATTTAAAGCTATGTGCTTTAAAGTGCGGGTTCTAACGTGTTTTTTTAAGTGTTAAATCATATTTCCCGTGTTTGTTTGTTTTTTTGTTTTTTTTTTGTTTGTTTGTTTGTTTTAGCCAAGGGGGAGACACGGTTATGCAGTTATGTACATACCCAGCTGTTGAAACTATTAAACATCTGGAATCTAACTCTACACAGCCGTCATAGGTCCCACCTGTTGGAAATACCCCCTTTATATATAAGCCCAGAAATTATTAAGATTGCCTCATATTAGATTTTGGCACACAGTAAGTAAAAAGTGTCATTTCCCGACTCTGTTTCCTCCAGATACAGTTACAAAATAATAATTCAGGGCAGGCTTTGTGCATGAGATGCTTGACTTTTGCTGACTGGCTCAGGGAGTGGAAGCAGGACATTCAGGGCAGGTCAGCATTCAAAGTGTTTGCATGCGCCACGATGAGCTTGTTGCCCTCTGCTCGTCTTACATTCAACAGGGCAATATTGATTTACTGTGCTTCCCTTAGGAAGGACGCGTAGGCTGAACAAGCTGTCTTTTGAAAGCTGTAACGCAACCCTCGGCTCTGCAGTTATGTCCTCTTCACGAGACACGTGATGAGCCTGCAGGGACAGCTCTGGCCTTCTTTGAGTACACTTTGCTCTCATCTTGCCAGGGGCGGCCAAAGGATCCAAAAGGATGTGTATAATACAAAGGGTTATTACGTAAGAGGAGAGGCTGCACTCTCTGTCCTCCTTTGTTTCTTTCTGGGTTTACCCACCTCCCTTCTGCACGCGGGGGAGAGGTTTCATTGAACTGAGCTGCAGCTGTGAGGCCCAGCAGCCTCAGAGGCCTTTCTGTGCAAGGAGCCTTATAACAAGCAGCCCCCCCCCAGTTCTGGTGAAAGGCGGCCTCACTTCTCTGGTTATCAAATTTTTTTTCTTTGCTTATTGAAGCCAAAGCAAATCCTGCAAAAAAACTTTTCCCAGAAGTCATGACAAAGTTGACTCATCATCTATTGGTGAGCTTCCTGTCAAATCTTTTAACTGGAACACTTACTGACAACTCAGCAGATATTATGCGTGTGTGCGTCTGTGTGATAATGACCCACACATCTGGCAGAACAGTGCCCACAGTACTAATTCAGGCGTGAACCTCAGCTTCTGGCAGTTCTGCACTTCCTGTCATAATAAAAGGGTGACAATACACCAGTAGAACGAGGAAAAAGAGCCCATCTATTACTGTAAACAGTTCTTTAATTTTCTTTTACTGAAATGAACATTGAGTGCATTTCAGTAAAATTGACTTTGATAAACCACATGATTAAAGCAACATGGTTATTTTCCACTTTGCCTCAGTTATAGCTTGAATGATCCGTGTTTCCAGTTACTCTAGCACAGTTAAGCATAGAGAACCAAGAGTCCAACCTACAGCTGTTGTAAGTGAAATAACATTCACGATGACTGTCAGGCCTGTTGTCCCACAGGCTTTCTTGGCCTGGTCTGCAGGTCTGGCCTGCGTAATATTCACCTGGTGCTGACTGAGCAGGAGAAACGAAGCAGCGAGCCGGGGAACCAACTGGCTCCTATTCTACCCGGAGAACAGCAGTCTCTTTGTTGCTCGAGAATGGGGGCTAAAAAGGAAAAGGAAAAGCATCCCGTTACTTAGATTCCAATCAAGCTCTTATCTGACAAAATCCTAACTCAAAGCACATTCGAGAGCTTGCTCTTGATATTATTCAAGGACACAAAAATGACTAATAGGGACTTGGTTTCAAGGAAAACACTTTCAGTTGAACTTAGAGGCTGGTTGCTTGCTATTTTGTCATGTAGAGCACAGTGACTCATGGCAAGAATAATGTAAACAGCAGTTTGTTTGTTGTGTGTATGTAGTTGTTTGACCCAAAGGAGAACTTAAACTACAGGACTCGACAGTATAAGAATAAAGCTGTCCTGAGAAGCCGTAAGGTGTATATTACCACAATATAGTCCACTTATTTTGATGAATGTTAAGAAGTAAATAAGACCCAAAATGAATGTTGGGTTGAGTTTACCAGCAATTTTTGGTTTCTTTCTGTAGCTATTTAGAAATGTAGTGAAACGTAACATTATTTCATCATGATAAAAACAATGCCCAATCATTTTCATAGATTAAAATGATCCTTTTGGTTATTTTGGTTAACAGAAATCTTCTGTTTTGTCTTAATTATCTTAAAATATGGTTAATATGTTCAAACCTGATGCTTTTCACTGGTGAAAGTCCAAAATCTCTTTAAAGTGAGGTGAGGAATTACATATAGGGAAAGCTGTGTAGAACCCATCTGAGGCAGGTTTCAGAATAGACAGTGGCTGCAGTTCTGCAGAAAACAAAACAAGTTCCCAAGATTTTTTGGGAGGTGCAAGAATTGGTGCGAGCCAGCAGAATGAGAACAGCATGTCCTGAATTTCAGAACCACAAAGACAGTTTACATAAACAGGGTGCAGTAAGCTCCAGATGTACTTCTGGAACTGCTCTGTGGATTTTTTTCTTTTTATGTCCTTTGGGTTTTTTTTTAAATTGTATTACTAGATAATAAAATGTTGTATCCTCGCCTGAAATGCTAATTAAAGGGCACTTGTGGAAGTGTTTGGTAAAGTTAAATGGCCACACAGCAGTGCACGGGTACTGTCGCTTCACGACAAGAACATTCCTGGGCTGAGCCTCCTGGTACGCTGGGGCCTTTTTGTGTACTGCATGTTCACTCTGTGCTTGCATGACTTCCTCCCATAGTCCAAACAAATGCTTCTCAGGTTAAATGGATTTCTAAATTGGCTACAGGCATCAAATGAGAATGTGTGGTTGTCTCTCTTGATGGTTTGGTGACTGGTCTAGGATGTACCCTGCCTCTTACCCACAGTTATGAAAAAGGATATACCACTGTTCCCCTTTGAGTGAAGTGTGGATGTACTATGTAGTTGTGTTTATATCACAATGCAATACAAACTGGGGATTTGCAGTTTTCTAATTGTATTTCAGACAAACCTTCAGTGAAGGCTTAGTACAGTTTTCACTTTAGTTTTATGACTGGCCCAGGCTGTCCAAAGTAACAGAGGATATCTGTTATCACATGTCCTCCTCTAATTAGCAGCAAAGGGTGGTGCATGTTGTGATCAGTAAATAGACAAATGGGCTCCAGACCAGCGTGTGCATAATTTGGTTAGGTGAAATAGTTGACGAGGAAGGGCTCAAATAAAATGAAGGTGGACAATGAGGTGGACAGAAGCAGAAAATGGTTTGGATAAATAGAGGAATGAAATGAAGAGGATTCAAGAGTGTCTTATAATTGGATTCAGCCTGCAATTTGTGAGTGAAACCCCAACATCAACAATAGCAAATGACGTTTTTGTGTGTCTGGTAGCTCTGGCAGCAGGACTGTGCCCTTCCAGGCCAGCACTTTTGCACTGCAGCCCAAACTACAGTCTGTACCAGAGCCTTTGTAAAACAAAAACTTCTAATGGTGAGAAGATCCATGTGAGGTTTTTGAGGGGACCAAAAGCTCTATGTGAGATGAATACAAGGACTTCTGATTTGAGAGATTATCTCATCAGGCCTGGGAATGCCTCGGAATCCCCCAGGAGCAAATGGAAAGTGTTGCTGGGGGTAAGGGCCTCTAGAATATCCTTCTTGGTCTGCTGCCACCATGATCTGACTCCCGATAACCTCAAAATTTTCAAAAGAAGAGCAAACCAAATAGGGAAAATGAAAAATACAACGCTGCTTAAAAGTTAAAGGCACTGCAGCTAAAACCAGAACCAAAAGCAAACATTGCAGATGAAAAAAGAAGATAAGATTAACAATATCGAAGGACAAGGTGACTGACTTTAACTGCAGTTGTAAATTCCATGACATTAGTGTGTTCATTAATGATTACATGTATTCTTACAGCTCCTGAGACAAGTATAGCCTGTACATTTGAACCCCTGACTCTGTTAAACATTCTTGGGTGGAAGTAAACATAAAAAAAAAACAACATAATTCTTGCTTGGCTTGCTTTCTACTCTTATGGTGTCAGCAAGTACAAGCTTTTATTGCCTTAAAGGATTACATGACAATACCAGTGCTTAAAGGGCAAAGAAATGCTAGCGCTCAGGACTGGTGACTAAATGTCTGTCATGTATATGCTTGTCAGAAAGAAAACCTTCTCTTGTGATCGTGTTGAAATGGTGATCCCATTCTCATACAGACTTCATTATTTAGTAGTTTGAGGTTTTATGTGTAGTAATCAGTTATATGCTTGTAAGCTATAACCTGAGGTTGCTCAGATTAGGAGCACAGCAAAGGTGATTTGTAATGTACCCCTTGGAGTTACTTTGCAATTCTCAATCCTGCTTCCTATGAGTCTTAGTTTTAATCTCTCCCTACAAAGAGTCTCTTATGCCGGGTATGCTTCTCATCTGCTCTTCTCCAGATGTCAGTTATGATGTAATAACCATAATCATTTTAACAATGATTGATGTTGGAAGCAATCAAAAGAAGGGACGGAGAAAAAGACAGGGAAAACAGTAACATTTCTGCTTTACCTTTGCTCACTTGTTTCCTCCTCACTTACTCCTTTTTTACACGTCCAAACTTGTTTGGTGAGCATATGTTCCTAGAATTAACAATGCAAAGATTTTTTTTCCACACTTTGCTCAGTCACTGATATCAGGTACCTTTCTCTGTTGTGTTCCAGGGAGTGAAGAAACCTTTCACAGAAGTCATCAAGGCCAACATAGGTGACGCCCACGCTATGGGTCAGAAACCAATCACATTTTTCAGACAGGTTAGACCACTCTCTTGCTTAAAGCTTACAATCTGTCAATGCCTGTGTTTTTGCTAAGTAGGACGCACTCATAATTACAGAAGGAAACAAAACTGTATGACAGAAAACCCAAAACAACCCTAAAACCACATACAAAATAATGTTGAAGCAACACATTCCCGCTGAAGAAATATTTAGTGGCCAGCTCCTTGTTAGTCTTGCAATTTAGGTCATATATTATGACACTGGTGTAGCATGGTGGTGCAGTGGCTAGCACCGTCACCTCACAGCAAGAAGGTTCTCAGTTTAAACCATATGAAGCTTCCGTGTTCTCCTTGGGCCTCTGGGTTTCCCCCAGATGCCCAAAAGCCATAGATGTCTATGTCATATACACAGTATTTTCAGCACTGAGATAAAAGTACTCAAATAGAAGCTTAATTGTGGCATTTTAGTGTAACTTTCGATATTGGATTTAAAATTAAACAACATGAACAATAAATGCTTAACTTTGCAAATAATTACAGATTGAATAAGTCACAGTGGTCACACTTGTGGGACATGTAGTGATTTTTGTTCTTTTCCTCTCAGGTCTTGGCTCTCTGCTCTTATCCAGCACTGTTGGAAGATAGCAAGTTTCCTGAGGATGCCAAGCAAAGAGCACGGCGCATTCTTGAGGCCTGCGGAGGCCACAGTATAGGTCAGACAACTCCCCCTCACTACACCAACCTGTCCCAGTCCTTCAGCACCTATGTCACTAGCATCTACGTCTATTTGTCTGCTTATCAATAATTAATTTGGACAGTCTGATCTCTGTGTAAACTGGTCAACTTAATATGTTACTTGTTAAACAAAGTCCATTGTCATGTCATTAGGGGCCTACAGTGCTAGCCAGGGGATCGAGTGCATCCGTCAGGATGTGGCGCACTACATCGAGAAAAGAGACGGTGGCATCCCCTCCAACCCCGACAATATCTACCTCTCCACTGGGGCCAGCGATGCCATTGTGGTATGTGCTGACTCACTTTGCTGCTGTACAAATGGCAACTGAGGACAGGTGCTTTAGTCAGCTTTTGTTAAATATATACTTATCTGTACTTTGTACATCTCTAATACTACTCCACCCACAGACCTTTGTCTGTCTCACTTTTATGCAACCCAATCAGGCTGCTGAATGAATAAAATACCCTAACTCCTGCACTAAAGATCATGCAGTATGAAACTTGTTTTTCCCCAATATGTTTCTATGTAGGTGTTAAAGTTTGTCTCCCAACAAAATTGATTGTTTGTACTCTTCTTTTTAATGTACACAATCAACCCAACAGTCCATACATAGTCTCCATAATAATGCCACTCCACTCTGTTCTCCTTTTTCTCTTTACACCTTCCAATCCAAGACCATATTGAAGTTGCTGGTGTGTGGGGAGGGTCGTGACCGAACAGGAGTGATGATCTCCATCCCCCAGTACCCTCTGTACTCAGCTGCCCTGGCAGACCTGGGCGCTGTCCAGATAAATTACTACCTGGACGAAGACAACTGTTGGAGCCTGAACATCACAGAGCTCAGGAGAGCGCTCAGTGCCGCGAGGGAGCACTGCAATCCTCGTGTCCTCTGCATCATCAACCCCGGAAACCCCACTGGTACACCTCTTTGCAGTTTCTCCATGTGACATTAAGGAGCTGCTGATGTTTTAGAGTCTTGTTGTGTATGTGTGGACCAAAACCAAACCTAGTTAACAATAATATTTGATCTTGGACAGTTAACACTTCAAAGACATTTCGTTTATTCTCTCTGTCTTCACACACTTCTCCTAATTATCAAACTCTCTGCCCTGTGTGACAGGTCAGGTCCAGAGCAGGCAGTGCATCGAAGATGTGATCCGATTTGCCAAAGAGGAACATCTCTTCCTCATGGCCGATGAAGTACGTATTTAACATTCTGTTTTGTGTCAGAGTGCAAACTTTTACGCTTTAAAGATTTCTTTCAAACTTACTCCACTGCAGCAGTTGTTTCATTTACTTTGCTAATATTTTATCATATACACCAAAAGGGTGTGAGAAAAATGTCTTTGATGTTTATAAATATAATGAAGTGTTATTAATGTTAATAAAGCCATGTTTATTTTTTTTAGGTCTACCAGGATAATGTATACGCAGAGGGCTGCCAGTTTCACTCTTTTAAGAAAGTTCTGTTTGAGATGGGACCGGAGTACTCAAACACAGTGGAGATGGCTTCGTTCCACTCCACCTCCAAATGTTACATGGGAGAGTGAGTATCTCACACAGATACGGCCACACACATGCACACGCCATAAATATAAAGAAAAAAAAGTGAAAGCCAGTAAATATGAGTGGAAGCAGTAAACAAGATTAAAATACACAAAAAAAAATAATTTTGTTACATATACACAATGTAAAATTTTATATTTATTAGAATCTGGTTAAGTGAAATTGACTTGATTGCTTTTCTGTTTATACAAAGCATATTATCTTAATGATTCATTGTTTGAATAAATAAATCTTTGATTTTATACATTTCAGCTGAATTTTACTCAACATAATTACTTCACGTTTTCAGTGGGGGTTTATGGTTGAGTTTTACAGATGCTTATTAGTAATGCACCTCAACTAAAACCAATAAACAAGCATGAAAACCCCACAGGGCAGCTGAAAATGGTCCTTGGAGTTGTTAATCCTTGCTGAAGTGTACATCTCCTTCAGTTAGAGCAAACTTTACCTTTCTTGTCTCTGTTTGTTTTCTAGGTGTGGATTCCGTGGAGGATACATGGAGGTCATCAACTTGGACCCTGAAGTGAAAGCCCAACTCATAAAACTAGTGTCTGTGCGTCTGTGTCCACCAGTCCCCGGACAGGCCCTACTGGATCTCGTGGTGAACCCCCCACAGCCTGATGAGCCCTCTTATGCCACTTTTATGAAGGTCTGAGTGTATGCAAACAGAATTAACTAGTGCAAACATCGCCTCACCTAATCTACACACAAAAGCTGTGTTAGGTTTGATAAAGTTCTCAGGTGGCACTCAGTCAGATCAGGTTTTGAAATTTGAACATACAATCAGAGCTGTTTTGTTTCACATCTTCTGGATTTCTAAACTGACTACTCATTGTGGTCTGGTCTTTATTAAGTCTTAATTATAGATGACCACAATCTGACTAAACAAGTATGCAAACTGGTAACTCCCACAGATGTTCTCTTTAGCTGTTTGTGAGACTTACACAATGATGAGAAAGGTTTTTGAATCATTCCTTAAAAAACACTCCTGTTATTTCATCAGTATTTGTGGTGTGTGAGCTGCCCTATTCTGGTTACTTCGCCTCAGCTGCTCCATCTTTTTCAATTATTTTCCATTGTTGTTGATTTACTTATGTTGGACTTTTGGTTACTGTCTGACTGTACTGACTAATGCCCCGAGAGGCGCCTGTAAAAAATTTTTATTGTTTCATCAATGAGTCCAAGGGATTCATGTTCTGAGATAGCAAAGTGTCCTGTAACCATTCTGCTCCATGCTTCATGATCCAGAGTTAAGATGGACTTTTGGTGTTAGTGTGAAGTGTTTGCTGTCTAAAAGTTTTATAGAACATTAATATTATATTTTGAAAACTCATTATTTTTGAAAAGCAGTAGTTTCTTTCATGTTGTCCATTGACATTTTATTTAGTCTGTTTTCTTTTAGCAAGGTGCAGAAATTGCTTCATACCTTTTTTTGAGTTACACTTGGTTATGTTTTTGCCCATTTCAAGACTGCACTCTGTGCTCTTGGCGTGATCTTTCAGTACCCTTTTCTGGGAGATTAGCAGCAGTCTTGAATTACCTTCCTTGTATGCAGTTAGTAAAAATATAAAGTGAACATTACACCCAGGTATTTGCGAAGGCTTTTGTAACCGTTTTCTAACTTTCGGAGATCTGTAATGCTTTAAACCTTGTTGTAATCAAGGTTCGGTTCACACTGGTCTTTCTTGGGCACAGACTTTCACAACCAAACTTTGAGTTGCTTTATTTGCTGGGAAGGCCTCTACTGCAACTCACACTTCCAATCTAACCTCCTTACTTGGTACACCTGACTCCGAGTAGCTTTTAGAGAAGTCAATGTCACAGAGGTTCTCTTAGGTTGGTTTTTCCAGCCTGCTTTGTGAGTAATTAACTCGATGTGTTCAGTGAGGACTTGAAAGACAGCTTGATCATCATTGATGTGCTCATAGCTAGTGCAAACCTTCAGTTGTCTTTGTTGTTGCAGTGTGTAGCTGCGAGTTTTAGCTGTGGGAAAGTCTGATCTTCAATTATTGTGTAATGAATGGATGGCTACATACAGGTATGCCACCATTGGCCACAATGGGGCTGGTAAACAAACGATTGTTTGTGTTAGATTCAAAGCCTACGTCCTGAATTACACATTGAAACCAGATATACATGTTTTTGTATACTCAGTATCTTTCCTTACTATTTTATGCAGAATACAAAATAATCACAGTTGGTACTTCACCAAAACCTGGCAAATGAACGCCAAAGTTAAAACAGTACATAGTATCATGTGAACATGGGCTGACATAGTAGCATTGTATTTTATTTTAAACGGCTTTCACTCATATAATGCTGACAGTTTTACCTTTTGTTTTCCCTCCAGGAGCGGACGGCAGTGCTATCAGCTCTGGCAGAGAAGGCCCGGCTAACAGAGCAGATCTTCAACACAGTGCCTGGTATCACCTGTAACCCAGTCCAGGGAGCCATGTACACCTTCCCTCGTGTCACTCTACCTCAGAAGGCCATTGACAAAGCCAAGGTCTGCTCGATACACCCACTGCATCCCTTGAGTTACTCTTGTGTGCAGACAATTTTGCTCATAAATAAGGTGTGTTTGTCTGCAGGAGTTGGGCCTGGTTCCAGACATGTTCTATTGTATGAGGCTGTTAGATGAGGAGGGAATCTGCCTGGTACCAGGAAGTGGCTTTGGTCAGAGAGAGGGAACCTACCACTTCAGGTCAGTATGGCTAAATTCACATGCTGAGTATGTTCAAATAGTTTTTGCTTAGAAAGATTTCAAAGTGAGAGAAGTGACCTGGAAGTATATGGATGGAAGAGCTGTTGGAATTCTCTGAGTAAAAGAGCTCCAGTGTTTCCTTTATTATCTTCTGTAGCACAAAATACTGATATATTATGAAAAACACAAGCCTGTTAAATCCACAGTTGAACTACTAAATCTCCTTCTTGTCAATTTGTTGCCCTGCATAAAAAATGTAGATTTGTGTAAGCTCTCTAAATCTAACTTGTGAGCAATAATAATTAAAGTGTGTCTGTATGATTTACGTTCATTTCTGGGGTGGGGGGGTCTTTTGAATGATCATGAATTAATAAAAAAATATGGGATAAGAGCTAGATGGTGGGAAGTTTCAGTCATAGAAATCCTGAAAAAAGGAGTTGGAGAGGAGTTCTTTACACTCTGCAGCAGTAAAACTTAAAAAAAAAAAAAAATAATACACTTTATTTATTTATTTAGATTTATTTCATTGTTTGGCTATGAGGGACATTTACTAAGCCAGGCAAATTAGCTTGATGCCGCAATCACAGGATCATCTACTAACGGTGTACTAATTTACATACACAGCCAGTTCATTTCAATAATAACCAGCATTGTGCCCAGAGCAGAGCAGATTTGTGGCTCAAAAGCCAGCAGACCCAGTGAAGGAGGGAGTCGGACCAAAATAACACAGTGTAAACGCAGGCCTTAAGTATGTGTTTCTTTGTGAAAACAGCAATGTAGTTCAAGCAGAGGCTGAAAAGGAATCAGTGGTTTTCATGAAAGGACAAAGTCTCTGATACAAATTCCCAGGCTCTGTGTGAGGTCCCATCGGCTGAGACTGAGGTGGTGTGCAGGGTTTATCCAGAGAAGCTCTGCGTTATTTCAAACCTTTCCACTGTATAAGCTAGGGGTGAGGGGGGGAAATTGATGCAGCGGTGATATTTTGTGTGGCAATATTGTATCAATACAGGGACACCAGATACTGATATTTTATTAGATAACTTAAAGTACTCTCAGAATACTGACCCTATATCTTTGTTTTTCTAAAAAATCCCAACCTTTGTAATGAAGTAGTAATTTTCATCAGTTCTCATTTATATGACCTAACTAAATCGGTGGGGTAAAAACGTGTGGATTGGTTTAAACCCTACAGCACCCAGTGTGACGTTAGTCTAGTTTGATTCGGTTGTGGTTTAATGCGGTTTGATTCTCTACGCACTTATCAAATTTCTTATCAATTTTACACCTTTCCTTGATGTCATGACATTTTTTCATCAAGGTCAAGGTAAAGGGATTAGGAGGTAATTTTTGTACTAGTCAAACTTAACTACCGCCCCCTGCTGTCCACATTCAGAGTTGAAACTTTTCAGGTGTAAAATAAAACAAAAGGACATTTCACTTTGCATTCATTTTTAAGTCATATTGATATATATTCACCAACAAGAGAGAATGAGACATGAGACCACTTATATCTGTTTATTCTGATGTTGCATTACATTTCTTTCTGTGCCAGTATTTCCATCTTGTTTGCATATGTGCTCTCACTAACACCCTCTGCTAATCCCCAAATCCATTTCCACTCAATCACAAGTTCTCTTGTGACATGAACAGTTTTCTTTAAATATGAACTTTTCAACTCTCCTACTGCCCTGCATTAACATTATGCTGAATATTCTGAATCTAAATACACCTAAGTTTGGGTTTTATTAGTCCTTTGCCCTGCTGCTCTTCTATTTGTCTCCCTTCCATCCTGAAGTTTGAGAAGTTAAACTTCTCTGTCTTACAAATACAAACACACACACACACTTCATGACTTCAGGAGAGTTTGTGATCCTGTTCACTTTGTGGCTCACTTATGGGTGCGGTGACACGTTTCTCATAAGCTTATCACTCATCTGTGAATTTCAGTTGTGCTGCACAGAGGCAGCTGGCACTCTGAAACTCAATCCGAACCTGCTCAGTCAGTTCATAATGTAAACATTTTGATTTAACTATGGAGAAAGTTTTACCTTGCTAATTTATGGCTCAGCGGTGACACCTTGTGTCAGTTTACAGTCACACAGGTTTAAGTCTAAGCAAAGTGTGAATTTATATGAAAACAAAGTAGTCAAAATAAAATAATGTAGTTTGTAAAACATGTTGAAAAAAAGCGTAATTCATTGCAGTTTTTACCTCTCAGCTGTATGAAGCTGATGAGGTGTTATCCTCACCCTGCCACAGGCAGGGCAGGCAGCGTGGACACCCAGGTTTGTGAACATGATAACTCAAGATGAACGTGAACTAGGATTTTCAAATGCATACTACACCTGCACCTCTACTAGGAGGCTGAGGGGTAGCACTGGTGGCCAACAATTAAACATTCTCCTTGATCCAAAAAGCTGTGTTGGATGAAGCCTGATTGTTTGCACCGTCCTTCTATTACGTAAATCTGATTTCCAGTTTTACAGCACCTCTACCGATACCTTTATCATTAATCTGAACCCACCTTTTCTCCGTGCAGAATGACCATCCTGCCGCCAACTGAGAAGCTGAAGGTGGTACTTCAGAAGATCCAGGAGTTCCAGTTGCGCTTCACACAAGAGTTTTCTTAATGGTCCCACATCTCAAGAACCAACTGCTCAGTGCCAGTATCATTAAGTACCTTTATGTGACTGAGGCGGAAGCCCCGTTCATGTTCGTACAGCACATGAAGATGATGTCAATAAGTTTCACTACATGATGCACTTTCTTAAAGTATTGCCCTGCCGGTTTTTAATGTTCAAACTGATGATAGTACTGATTGTCTCTTCAGTTTCTTACTCTGCTGGTGCATCCCTCTCCTGCCAATTCATTTTAAGGGATTACTTGATTAACTAACAGTTGTTTTATGCCCCTGCCACGTTGAGGCGTACTCTCTGGGCTGTTCACATGTCTCAGAATGTAGCCAATTGTATCAGTAATTGTTTTAATTGTTCTTAAATGTAATTAAAACCAAACACTTGTTTTCTGAAACTGCGTGCAGTGCCTGTTCCTATATTTGCAACACATTCTCTGGCATGACTTGTATCCATTAAACAAACACAAAGAGCCACTTCTCAGCACTGGCCTGCAAATGTGCCAGCATTTTCAATTTTATTTAAAAAGGATTAATCTTGAACAGTGCTTACATGCTTTCAGAAACAAGAAACCTGAATCTTGGAATGAACACAAACTAAAAGGATGATTGAAAAGTAACCATGGCAGCAAATCAGTAACACCATTTTTGTTTAATTACTGCATTCCCTTCACCTTCCCAGAGGTTTTGTCAGCATCCTCTGAAACTCTGCACAAGCACGGTAAGAGTTCTTTGCTGCTTCTCCGAGGAAGTTCAAAGTTCGTCTCTCTTCTGTGATAGCTTTGTGGCGTGCTCCTCCAAGAACTTACTGAACCCTTCTACTGTTCTGTCTCCACCTTCGAATTTGATGGGGCTCTGCTTCTTGTTGCTTGGGGCGAAATATATCGTGGGGAAGCCTTCCACTTTGTAGCTGTCGTTGGGTACATCGTTGGCTGTGGCGTCCATCTTGGCAATCACCAGGTTTTTCTCACCCTTGTACTTTTTGCCCAGAGCCAAATAATCAGGCTCTAATTTCTTGCAGTGGCCGCACCAGGGGGCGTAAAACTCGATCAGGACGTCCTTCTGGGTATCCATGACGATATCGTCAAAAGTTTTTCCTACAACCACCTTAACAGGTCCTTTGTTGTTCTTTGGCACCGGCTGGGACTTGATGATGGGTTTAAGCTTTCCTGTGGACAAAATTTAGAGTTTTAGTGAAATTTACACATCTGTCAATACAAACTCTAAATGAACAAGTTAAGTCCTTCATGCAAAAAAACCCACACAGATTTTTAGCACTTGCCTTTCTTAAAAGCCACGACAAAATCTCTCAGCACTTCTGAGTCAAACTCCTCGGGCTCCATCGCATATTTTTTGCCTCCATCTGCCAGAATTCCCACATTCACTTCCTCTCCGCTCTCACTCAGGCCCAGGCCCTTCAGCTCTTCCGCATAATCCTCCTCATCAGCGATAGCAAATGTATACTCTGGGAAGTCTTTGGCTACATCGAGCACCTTGCCCCTCCAGAACTGTGTAGCTGAAAGTGAAAGGAGACAAGGCGTATGTGTTACAGCACAGAACTCCTCCCGCATGAATGTTGCTGCTATTCACAGTAGTTGCAAGTGTAAGCAGATGACTCCTCCACCCTACTCACCTTTTCTGTAGTCAAAGCTGAAGTCAACGCCATAATACACAACCACCAGGGGTCTTTTCGTGTAGCGTTTAGCATCGTTGCTTGGTTTTCTGTGTCCCACAAGAGGAATTACATGTTTTTTGAAGAACTCTTGCACGTCAGACACCACCGTCGAGTCCTGTGTTATGAAGAAGAACGTGTTGATGTCAAATGTTTTCCCCCCCCCCAACGCACCACTGCTGAAATTTGCAGATCAGAGTAATACAACAATCAAAACGATAGCTGCTGCTAGGCGATGCAGTGCATTTATGCACCAACGGTGACTGAACGAAAGCACAGCCATTTGCAATGCTGATGAGTTTCATACACACTGAAACAAAATTCAAATCAGTCACAACAATCTGTTGGAAGTAAAAGACTCCACCTTGACTGAAAACGTGTGAGACGATGGCTCGTGCTTGGAGCGGAATTTTTCAGGCTGGACAATAACGACGTGACCGGGAGAAACTTTGAGCAGTTTGGCCACTTCGGCACTGAAGGAGTGACGGAAAGTGAAGTCCTCCCTTAGCGAGTTACCTGCAAGCCAAACAGCAGTGAATACAGTTAATACATATGCAAATCCCAAAGAACTCCAGAGAACTGAAGATGAGTGATATCAAAACCCAGAGGCGAGGGGAAAAAACAAAAAAACGGTACGCTATTTTTATGGAATTACTTACAAGCTTCAATGTAGATGTCATAGGCTGCATCCTGCTCGCTGGAAAACACTCCGACTATGACAGCATCATCACCATCTTTGATGAGCTCCTGGATCTGTTTCGCTGCCTGTACCTGCTTGGAGGGCGGCCCAGCCTGCTCACTCATATAGTCAACAATCCCTGTGGAGAAGGTGGAAGACATGGATCAGCTTTGTTAGAGGATGAAAAGAAGCCAAATGTACATGCTGTGCCAAACAGCAATATACATACGACACATTTTGTGACCTACCATTTCTTTCTCTGGGTCCGTTGTATTCAAACACCTTGCCCTTCCTGAAGATCTTCAGAGTGGGATAGCCGGTGACCCCGAAGCGTGAGGCAAGCTCGCTTTCCTCTGTGGCGTCCACCTTGGCCAGAGGGATGGGAGGAGTGCGCTGGCTCAGTTCCTTGGCCGCCTTCTCATACTCTGGAGCCAGACGCTTACAGTGTCCACACCTGGAGGTGATAATTAGTTTATTACTCCCCCCCTCAGAGACCATCTACAGTTTATGGCATCTAACCAGTACTTCATAACCGACTCACCATGGGGCGTAGAACTCCACCAGGATGATGTCTGCGTTATTTACAGTGTCATCAAAGTTGTCCTTGGTCAGCACCAGTGTGGCTTCAGGAGGGGGCTTCCAATCTGGTTGAGCCACCTCTTTAACACGCTCCACAATGGCTGCAGGAAACTGATAAAATTAGCCATGCCGGTGCTTCATTTGTTTAACAAAATGATGCTCAGACTGGACGAACCACTCTTACCCTTCTCTGTCCGCTCTCCGTCATAGTCCACAGGCTCCCCGTTTTTAAGGATCTTTATGGTGGGATACCCAGACACATCGAACCTGCTCCCCAGACCACTGGCCACTGTCGCATCCACTTTGGCTACAGGTATAGGAGGGTCATTCTCCTTGAGCGTCTGGGCAATTTTTTCATATTCTGGGGCAAACTGCTTGCAGTGACCACACCTAAAGTATACCAAAAACAAAGGGATACAGATAATGCAACAGGATGTAGACAGGAAGAGGCACGCTGTAAAGTTTGCATGGCTCATTGGTTACAGTTTGAAAACAATCAGAGCTTCTTCTGTTTCTCCAACTCACTCAGACTCATAAGGATTTAAGTAGTTTGGCACATCCAACTTACCATGGAGCGTAAAACTCCACCAAGACCGTGTCTTTGCCCTCTATGAAGGTGTCGAAGTTGTTGTCGGTGAGCACCAGCACCCCGTTCTCTTCTTTCACCTCTGTATCGTCGTCTTCATCATCCTCTTCATCGTCACTGTCCTCTTCATCAGTCTCCTCTTTGCTTTCTGCAACATCTAAACACCAAATAAGCAAGCAAACAGAGCACACACTGATTTCAGTCCGTGTCAGATCCACCACAGCCTGGATTCATTTCTTGCGTGCATTCAGTGAAGACCCTAAAGTGCATTTATTCAAGTGTGTTGACATTAGCGGTCCTGTTAGCTGGCAAGCTAACACAACTACACTAATTAGCTTGTTAATTTTAACACAATAAACCGACCTTCCTACTTCAATAAATAGTTCAGCTGCAGGGTTGTACAAATGCCCACACTCACCCTCTTCACATCTGCTGACAGTCGCGAAATGTGCAACGCCAAGCAGCACAATTAGCAGCAGAGCAAGCTTCTTCATTGTGTCCACAGATGATACGGCCCCGCGTCAACCGTTGTTGCTGCTCGCGCACGAGTAGCCGGCTAATTAACTTAGCTAATAAAAAAGGCTGATGAATGTCATCAAAAACACTGCGGGCTGCACAGACCAGCCGCCCGGATCAATACTGATGTGTGGCCCCACCAACCTTTAGCATACCTTTCATACAAACCAGCCCTTCAGAAAGCACACAGTTCACCACCCCCTCCTCCTCCCCTGTACTGGAACTTGTCTGACTTGCCACGTCGCGATTGGACGCCATCATCGACTGTCCTCCAATCACACGTCGCCACTCAATTCCTGATGCTGAAACGTTGACAGATACTATTGGATGCTTTTGTTTACTGTTTTCTGGCTCACGGCAAAGTTTTTCAAAGCGTTTGTTTGTTTAGTTTCACAATTTTAAAAGTATTTTTTATGTTTTATATGAGTGTTAACAGTACTTTAAATATATATGGTACACAAATATTTAATAGTCACTGCACTGGACTATTTTTAGCCTGATGTTTAGAGGATTTAGGGAGGAAATTATTCATTAAACAGGACGAGAAGACCTGGTGATCTGTCTTTACATGTTTACAGCTTCCTGTGTTGAAGACAACAGAAACCCATAAGGGTCATTTTCATATCTTACTGTTCCAACTCCACTTCTTTTTCTTTCGACAGTTCCCTTTATGGGATGCCACAGCAGTTAATCTACCTCCATGCATCTCACCCTCCCCTGTCACACCTGCATGGCCTCCTTCCTTACTTCCATAAATGTTCCAAATGTCCATACCAAATATCAACACTGCTGAAATCTGGTATTTATACTGGAGTGATATTAAGTCAACAGCATTGACACTTTGTTTCTGTCCTCTGAGTTCAGTATGTAACCCAATGAATTGTTATTGTTGGTTTGTTTTTGTTTTAGAAATGAACAAGTATACCTTAAAGATGCACTATGAAAAATGTCTGAACATTCTTGTCTTGTCTATTTTATTCAGTCTGTACACACATTTAAAAAACCCATTCCAGGTCTCCAAAAAACACAGTTTCAAAATACATAAAATGCTAAAAGGTGTGTCTTGTTGTTTGGGATTTTGCTGTTAAAATATGTTAAGAATTTGCAAATTGATATTCATTTATCACATAAATTGTGGCACACTGCTCTTTCCTGCATACACTGCTTTTATAGGTTAAGAGTATCTGTATTGCTATCGACATAGGCAATACTGGCCCTGTGTTTACTTGGTATTGGATCGATACCAAAATCTGGAGTATTGAACAGCACTACTCTTTGGTCTTCCCCTTTTCCTCCTGCCTGTCACATCTATCTACAGAATCCTTTGGCCTCTATTCCTTCTCCGCACATGTCCAAGCTGTCCAAACTGCTCAACCTGATCTGTCCCTCTGATGCCCTCATTTCTAGTCATGTTTATTCTGGTCACTCCCAATAAAAATCTGACCATGTTAAGCTCTGTCACTTCCAGCTTAACCTCCTGTATTTTTGTAAGAAAGCAAAACTTTTATTCGTACAGCACATTTCAAGACAGACATCACAAACATAAAAAAGAGAAAAAAGAAAAGTTAACCAAACACAAATCTAAAAAGATGAGTTTTTAACTGTTTGTAGAAAGAGACCACTGAGTTTGCAGATCTCAGGCTCAGAGTGAAAAACTTCCAGAGTCTGTGCAGTAAAAAGCTTTGTCACTGCCACTGTCTCCAAATAGATTGATGGATGGATGGGTTACAAACTTTTGTGCTAACAAGTTTTTAAAAAGTTATGCTACTACTGGGTAAAAATAACAAAGTAAATGTACCTTTTTGTAGATAAATTAAATAAAAATATTAATAACAGAGATTATAGATTATAGATATGAGATTATATCTCTCGGCTGGCCTGGGAATGCCTTGGTGTTCCCCCGGATAAGCTGGAGGAGGTG